AACCAAACACTGGCTGTAGATGGGCAGGTTTTATGTGGCCACCGTAGTTCCTCCTACACAGTTCACAGCCCGTTCTCAAAGACAGATGTGTTCAACTAGTTGCAATCAGCAACTTCACCACTAAATCCTACTAAATCCTACACACTGGTCTTTTAATTTGATAAGTAACAAAGCAAATGAATACACAGAGATTCAGCAGCAGAGCAAACTCAACAGCCAGCAGTACAACATTCCCTGAAAGCAGGCAGAGCCATTAAAGGCAATAATACACATCACAAATTCTATCGGAATGGCAACAGCAAAGGTAAAGCGAAAAATAGTCAACAACAATTCAGCAAAAACTAGCTTGCTTGAAATGAAAGTACAAGCAGCACAGCAGCAGATAACTTAGCTTAGACCCTGGCATAGTGGCAAGTTGAAATCCGGTGAACAGGGTAGGAGGGGTCTGACCGCAAACGCAGGAAACTCAACTTCTGTCCTGGCATCTGAAGATATGACTGTTTGACAACCAGCTGACCACTGCGGATAGTGGGCAGCAGAAGATTATTTCATCCTGAATAAAATGAGAAGCAAGGACTGTGGCAGGTCTGCTGCAGCAGCAAATGACATTGGCATCAGCAGAGTAAACAGTAATAGTATTGGGATATATATATATATATATCATTGTCCAGCATATTGCAAACAGCTGATGCCGATCAGTCAATACAAGTACAACTTCAATCCTCTGCCTGAACCAAAGCTATGCTTCATTTCATTTATGTTTTTATTTCAAAGATCCCCCTCAAAAACTAAAATTTTTAGTAACCAAGATTATTAGTAATGTAATGTTTATCTGCCTCAGCTTTTAATGATGCAGAGTTCTGCTGCCAGGCTACTCACCAAAACAAAAGCATTTTTCTCAGGTTATTCTGATCTTGGCTTAAAGTCCTTGAAAAACATTCATTACATCGTTTTAATTTAAAGGTTTAAAAATCCTGACAGGTTCATAGAAGTGCACAACATCAACACGAGAATAGCGCAGTCCAAAACTTGTGCCAAAGCCGTAAAAAGGTGATGAAAATACATTTTCAGGTTCTTTAAAGCAATATTAGTTACAAATATAGGCCAGATAACACCCTGTCCTCAGAGGCATCTCGAGTCAGCCACTGGATCTTCTTCCAGACTCCAGGTTAAAAACTAATGATTATCCCTGTAGTGGCTCCCAGGCTGTCTTATTTTCCTCTCTCTGGAGAGCATGTTGTCCACCTTCCATGAAAAGTGCTAAATAGATACATTTTATTAGTATTTTCCCTGCTTTTAAACCGGAGAAAGGCTCGGAGAATAAGAAAAAAACATTAAATTAATTTAAAAATATCTAATATTAATGAGAATAAACATAAAGGTTAATTGTTTTATTGTTTTCTGTTTGAATAATGCTTTTGTTTGGGCCAGCAGAGCTACAGTTGGTCCTGAACCTAATGTTGCTTTGTAGCAGAGTTGATTTATGATGTTTGTTGAGCCTCAAACACATTAAACCCCTGCACATAGAAAATTAGATTTCTTTCTAAAAGAACTGAAATGATAAATTACGACGAACCTCCTTAACAAATGCCTCTGCACAAGTTGCCTGTTTAATCAGCATCTGCTTTGCTTTAGACAGGCACAATGCTCATTTATTCCACAGGAGCATATTTCCTGCCCCATGAAAGCAGAGTTGAGGATGAATGAAGGATGTTTGCCACTGCTCTGTACACTCCTCGCTCCACTCCTGCTTGTATAGCTCACACTAACTCTGCTTCCACATCTGCCCTTCTGCTACTGCTGCTACCCTCTCCACACTGGAATGGAGATTGAAAATGATTGAGGTCATGTAGCTACCCATTCTCAGATTTAAGTGGGAGGAGACATGCCACATCTATTTACACCTGTAGCAATAATAACATTTATCAGTGTCAGTTTATGGAATAATGATGATTAGATGAGGTTCAGCTATACATAAAACAGGGACCTTGAACAATATGTTTTACTTGGGAAAACTCATTCTTATATTTTGTGAACTCTGTAGTGTGTTTTATTTTTTTGTCAGGGTTGGTGTTTTGTTGGTTTTGCTGTAATCTGACGACATGGATATCAGGCAGGGAACTCCATTTCTTTTGTCCTCTTAAGAGTCTTCCTGCCTATCCACTTCCTTTAAGACAAAAGAGGAGCCAGAGCTACTTAGAGGACTGGGCCTTGTTCCTGAGGTGATGTGATTAAAGGCTTCTGTCTGGGCTGCACCCATTCAAATGCCTTGCACACGCCACAGCTGCTTTAGTTAATTGAATTGTCAGGAAAGCAGACAGGACTGAAGGTAGCACCAAGACTGACGCGCTGAATCAATAGAGTGGCACTTAAATAAAGCTGGGCAGTGGCTGTGCCAAGGATGAATAGCTGGCTGTGTGTTGGGATCAGTGGTTTCTGATTGTTTCAGTTGATTAAAAGTTACTGAGCAGGTGGTTTGGTTAACAGTCTTCTCCTGTTGGATAGGGTTAGGGTTAGGGTTAGATATAAACAGTAAAAAAAATGGTCACAATCATGAACAACTCTAAAGTGGCAATTTTGCATATTATTCAAATTCAGTCAAACTCAGTACCCAGCTATCTCCTTCGCCTACTTACTGAGTAAGTTAGTTTAAATTCTAGCTAACTACAATGTGCTGTTTGATGGTATTATTTATTGGTGCATGTTTACTCTACTATCTTTATATTTATTATGTTCACAGTGAAAATGAAAACATTCCAATCTTTAACTGGCAATACTATGGTCAACATCTTAGTTTACTGTGTTAACATTTGCTAGTAAGCACTAAACACAAAGCACAGCGGAGGCTGTAGAGAAGAAGAAGAAGATTCTGACCTAAGGATGGTTAAGTATAAGGTATCACCAACATTATTACAATTAATCCTGAGGGGGGAAAGTCAGAGATAACCAGTAGGTTTCATCTCCTGGGAACCATGAATGTCTGTATAAAAAAAGAATTTTCAGTTTGGACCAAAATGGTGGACCAGCTGACAGACATACTCTGGCATCCTAAGAGCCAGGCCACTATGGCTGAAAATAAATCATCAAGAATGTCATTTAAATCAGTTATGGCTATAATCAATGAAGCCAAAACTCTGTCCAGTCAGATAAATTACCACATGGCCAAGAGATAAAGTGAAGTTCATTACCTACAAAGTCAGCCAAAGACTGTGATGCTGTGGTGAAATGTTTTTAGAAAATTGCGGTCTCAAAGGAAAGGGGTGATGTAATTGTGGAGAGATGATGTAATTGTCTATCAGCATGATTGTGCTTGTTTGGTAGGCACATTGATTAATTAAGTGCTTGTCAGTTACTATGAGTGCATTGCAGTTAATGTGATGAAGACATCATTGGTCCTTGGGGAGATTAAGGTCTTGGATTTTAAAGAGATTTTGTTTGTTCCTGATTTAAGATAAATTAAACTGTTCTCAACTGAAAACTTTCCATCTAACACAGCTGTCTCTGTCCTGCCTAACATTGACCACAAAAACAGGTTTCATCTAACATAGCGTAAATGCTTTGGAAGTGACTGTCTATCAGATAGCCGGCTGGTGCTCTAGATTGCAATCCTTCTTTATTCAATAATCCATGGCAGCATTAATGCATTATTGTCACTGCTGCCAGTTTATCAGACTCAACAGCCTGCTGAAGGAGAGTTTCTATGTCCAGACATTTACTCAGTTTAATCAATGCGGCTAATATTAATGCAGGATACCTCTGTGCTACTTTAACCCTCCTTTTGTGCGCATTCCACAGTTGATGGGTTTACAAAAGAAAGAATTAGGAGGGAGATGAATGAGCAGATTAGAAACTTGTTTGGAGGTCATCATCTACAGTATGCAGGAGTGGAGCTTCTAACCCAGGGCAAGGCCCTTTGATTAGGATATTTGTGAGGAATGATTAACTGTTTGTCTGATGTCTTCAGCTTGTTTAACCAGCTGTCTTTCGGTCACACAGAGAGAAAGAGATCTAGTGTTGCAAGACTTGTTCTAAGCAAACTCTCAGAATGCCAGGAACTCTCCATTTTGCCTGAAGCCATTCTTTAAAATGATTAGGTAACCACTAATTTACTTGTGTCAGAGCTGTTTGGTTTAAAGGCATTACAGTTTAAAATAAAAAACGCTTGCCATTGTATTCTCTGTGAACTTGACGTATGAGAGAGAAGAAGTTGCCTGTATCTGAGAAAGGCTACAGTCCTGGTTCCCCGGGAGACTGACATGGTCAGCAGCCCTCACTCCAGCCCCCTCCCCCTTCCTCCCTCATCCTCTTGCCTTCTCTCCCCCTGTTTGTGAAGGAGGCGTGTGAGCAAGGAAGAGGCAGGGCACGTTAGCCGAGGCTGCGGGAGTGGAACTCGGCAGGAAAAGCATACAAACACACACATTCACAAGCACACACACATGCTCAGTCAGCGTAAGTGACACAAGTGCTGGTTCCATTCAGCGCTGAGTTGACTGACTTACTGCTATCCATTAGCCGGCATGCCGCAGAGAAAAAGGAGTTTCACTTTTGGAGCCTATGGAGGGTAAGAATAATTATCCTAATAATTTCCTGGACAACTAAACATATTCACAACACACAGTTGTCATCTATGTGACTGTGTATTTGTGTGATGTGTGTCTGTTTCTGTCTCCCTGTTTGATGACTGTGCAGATTCTGCGTCTGTGTTTGTGTCTGCATGTTTGTGCCATTTGTACTGGAATGCCAGCATATTTATGAGAACAGCTTTTGTCTTAAACGTCTTACCTGTCATTTTTCTGGCTTTCTCTCATAAATTGCACCTGATAATACTGATGATGGGGAATCATTAAAGGTTACATTCTGTACAGTTATGGTGAGGTATGAGACATAGAAGCATAAACAAGATAAGGTGACAAAATTAACAGAGAGAAAAGTAGGTATGGTTCATGTTACAGGAAAGTATTACTGAGACTCTGACAGAGCTAGGTATAATGGATGTGAATTATTTTAGACACTGTTAAATAACTGCACACATACTATACATGGATGCTTATTTGAAAAAAAATCTGTGCTACACAGATCAGTGGTGTGTCTCCTATGTTGACAGTAGGCACTCATGTCCCCTGTGTTTTTATGTGGCCCACTCCAGACTTTACAGGATACTGAGCAGTAGACGCACAGTCAGCAAAGAGCATTTTAATAGTCAAAGGCGAACAGGTGCCCCAATGCAACTGCGTGGCTGGCTTTACTCAAGGATAGGTTTTGTCTATATTTCTGTGTGTGTATGTTTTGAAGGTAGACTCAAGAAAGTCTGGAAATATACCAGCTCACAGCAGGTGGAGACAGTAGTTATAGCCAGGCTAGGCTGTGTGGTAATTTTGGCATAGTGGCCACAACTGTAATTGCTGTCAGTGTGTGGGCTGTTGGCCAAGTGGAGCCAGCTTTGTTTATACTTGCAAAAGACACCGTGGTGTGGGCCTCCACAGATGGCGCGCGGGCTACCAGTGTGTACAGACGCGTTTATGCGTCGTTCATTGCAATATTCTACGACACTCTAGAGGGTGTACAAACAAGAAGTGAATGAGTGTTACTGGATGAACGTCATTATCCAACATGGCTACACTCACTGCTTGGTACTAACCACTGACGTACCGCCAAACATTGCGTTTGTGTACTGTAATTATTGCCGCTTAGCTAGAACTCAAAATTGTTCAGTTCAATTCAGAGTCATTGGGCTGTACCTGTGGTCTCTCAAGAAAGGGTTGTAGAGGTTTCTATAGAAATGAACCTGCTCGGCCAGTTGGCGTACATGTTGCAATGAAAAAGCTCTGCATGCACAGACAAAAAGTTGTTACAAAAAGTCAGAGGTGCAAGACCAAGCACTGCAACGTCACTTGGTGTGCGCCCCCTCGCTCTGGGTACACTGCAGTGAGCATAAATAAAACACATGCATTATACTTCTCTTCAACCGTTAGGTACCAGGTGCCGATTCTCATTCCACGGCCCCAGGGGGCAATAATGAGCCCATTATTGCTTGGCAATCCACTATGAGGCTAAAAAGACGCCTAAGAAGAAACTTTTTTTTACGGAAATTAGGGAAGCAGGAAAAAAAGTGTTATGAAACTTTTAGTCTTTTGCTTTGGATGAACAGTTGTATCAATAATTGAAACAAATGACCCATCATGTTTGTATTGGTCATCGATTTTTTTATTTCATCCGTGTAGTCGAGCAGTTGGACAGTTGAAGAAGACTTGCTTTTCTGTTTTCTGTTTAGCAGTGGCCATAAATGCCATTGCACTTGGCATTTTAATAGGTCAGTCTGATTGCTCAAATCAGCAGGTGATCTGTAATACGTTCTCCCCCCTGCATCCCATTGGCATTCACTGAAGGGAAGGCAGCCCCTCTGTTCTCTGCAGATCAGTCTTTCTTTAACGCAGCATGCTCCGTCATTTTGGCATCAAATATTAATGGAGCTACCACTTAATTTGAGCTCTGATGTGTTAGATTTTTGTTTCACTCTGGGTAGATTGCAGTCCTGTCTTTATGTTAATACGGGCTTTTTTACTGGGTACTGTAATTTGGAAGCATAAATGAAAGCGTGACCATGACATTGCAACACTGAGCTTTCATATGCTTTTACAGACGTATCTCTAAGTATTCCTTCTACTTAGACTTATATAGTTTACTGCTCTTACATGGCTGTTGAATGAGACATACTGTAGCTTGTATTTCTGTTTGTCTGTAGTCTAGAGCTGACCTGTGTCAATAATAAACTGAATGCTCTTTTAGTAATCTCAGTGACATGACCTTCAGGCAACATGAACAATAATGGACGTTGTAGTCTCTCATAGAAAGACTGAAAGAATGCATGTCAATCGTGTTCAAAAACAACCGGGTGGAAAGACACATTGTATTGAAATCTCAGAAGACCTGAATTGTAGTTGGTATTCTCTGGTCAGCTGATTTAAAAATGCCAAGTAAACAAGACAATAGAGTCTTTGAGAAAAAGGTGTTTCCCAGTGTTAAACAGAGTACTTGATTCATAACAACATTGTGTGAATATGTTCAAGATTTGGAAATGTATCTCACCAGTTAACCAAAGTTTTTGCGTAGTTTGTGGCTCCAAAAAACAGGCATGAGAGGCTGCAGTATCATTTTCAAGAATGTAAGGTTTTATTTTGATGACAACCTTTGTTTATTTTTACACTTCTGTTGAAAAAAATGAGAAGATCCTGTCTTGCTCCTATCTTGATTTATGATTATCTAGTGTCTGAGGATTACTGCATTGAATATTGAACAATGGACAACAAGAAGACAACGCAGAGAGGGTCTTTTTGTTGGACAAAAACAAATGTTTGCATGACAAAAGATGATTAGACAGCAAGGCAGGGCTACTTGAGAACAGGAGGCCATTCAAGTACCTTTCCAAGGGCAGTGGCAAAACAAACAGGAGATCTAGGGCAACCAGAGGGCTCTTCATTGCCTACTCAGTTAGTCCCCCTTGCATATTTACCTTGACATTCACATTTGCATTCATATTCACACTGGCAAGCCATCCACGGATAAGAATGGGAAGGCATTGGGTGAGCTTCAGTAAATTATCTAAATCTCATGGGGCTACTAATTGTTGCTCTGATAAGAATAAGATTAAGACAGAATAACATTTTTATTACAGTCTTGTTCCTTGTAAGTCCCCATGTGCCCCATACGTCCAGATTGGCCTGTTCCAAACAGATGTGTTGCTGTAGTCATGTCAGTTTTACTGCAACTTTCTTCTCTTGATGACAAATGATGTAGTCATTTTTCAGGACATTGATAACATGAGCCTCTACAGTGATAGTATCACTAGATAGCAGTAAACAGAGTCATGGTTACTTTTGTTTAATGGATATCTTAGATTTGATCAGATAAGCAGTTCACAGTAAGTCACTAACCTAACATGTATGTTGACAGTTCCTGTAGCTGCAACAAAAAGCCCTCCAGTAGTTCACTGATGAAAAGCTTTTCACGTGAAGCAGCTGAAAAGTTTACTTTAACTGCATATTAACACTGTAATAGACTTCCTTACAGCTGTAATAGCACAGCAAAGGAGAGCAGATTGTAAAACAGAAATGTTCATAGACATAGACACAAACATAACAAACAACAGGAAACAAGGAGTGAAACTCCCCAAACTCCAAACTCTCATGTTAGGAGCCACAGAACTACTGAAACATGAAGTAACATGTATGTTGAAAAAGGTTAAGTTTTCTGTGACGTTGGCATGATGGCATGAGGGTGAGGACCATCACTAATATCCTAATACAGTCATTGTAATACCAACATTACAGTGTCAAAATAATGTTAGTGTTCTTTGGTCCACACATAAAAGAAAAAGAAAATAACATTAATATGACACTTAACCGATTAAATTAAACTATGTTAGTTTGAGTTGCAAAATAAAAGAACACTAATGAAACAGACAACAGAAAACATGTGTCATGGGTTTTTTGTTGGGTCGATGTTATAGATATCATGGTGCCTACTAGCAGTCAGCATAGCCGTGGTACCAGTGTGTGTGTTTGTGTTTGTGTGTGTGTGTGTGTTTTCTTATACACTGTATCCACTGTACACTGTACTGTGGTTAAATGGGGACATTCAACCACTTTACACTTATTTCTCTGTCAATAGGCTCATTCAGTTCACGCTGGATTAAGATACAGTATTGTTTGACAATGTGTCTTATTACTAGCCTAAGCTTTATATATATATAAAGATATTGTTCAGCATTGCTTAAGGTCTGGTGTGTCTCCCTGTGTATCTATTTTTGACAGTATCCAGTTCCTTTCCCGAAGCATAGTGAATGTGAATCTGCTAAGTCAGATACTAGAATATGCATTTACTCTGTGTAGATGTTAATGAGAGATAGACCTCATTCAGAATAAACTGAATAGGCTCTCATACTGTATTCATCTTGGCATCCACCTTTCTTCTTTTTGCTGAACGAATGTCAGTCTGTTGGTTGGTCCACCACTTGTTTTTGTACAGACATTCATGTCTGTACATGGTCTCTAGAGGATGAATCCTACTACATTTGGTGATTCCCTGACTTCCCCTCTAGCACAACAGGCAGGTTGACATTTGTGGTTCTTAGTGAAATATCTTTAAAACTATTGAATGGTTTGTCATGAAAGTTTGCGCACTAATTTATGTCCCTTCTGAACTGGAACTGGAATTACTGTGGTGATCCTTTAAAGGACCTGCATCTAGCGGTGACCTGGGAATGAAAACGGGCTGTGAAGTGTGTAGGAGAAACTACCTGGGCTGTGAAAAATACTTTAATGGGTAGACCACAGGTATTCTATGTACCCTTTTCACCCTTGTTTGGGTTGCAGAGTATTAAGTCCAAAACTGGACACCGACAAAGGACTTAACTCAGCATGCTCTGCATTTGAGCTGGGTGAACTGGGTGTAACACTCACCGTGACTCCACTAGACTTTATTGTAGCTGTAGGGAAGAGGAATAATTTCTGTGCAAGCTGAGTTGACTGGGATCAGGTTCCTAGCATTAGTTTCACAACATCAGTTAATACAAAGGGCTCTTACTTAAAATGTGTGTTATAATATGTTGACAAACAGCAATGACCTTATATTTTGATATTATACCCTTTCCTCCTAATGAATATTAATGCCAGTGGGTTATTTTTCTGGGTCTTTGCATTCTTTTAGTGTTTTTTTCCACTGGACAGAAGTTTAACAAACAGTGAGATAATAATAGATAGTAAATTTAAATACTGAAATCCTGTATTGATCATTCAGGTATAGTCCCAGACCTTTTAAAGTAATGTGGTTAGAAATCTCCATCTGGATTACCCTAAATTTAGATTGCTTGTTATATTTCAGATATAGATTTAGTACTGCAAGAACATGTTTCTGTAGCAGATTGGTAACTGAACAACAAACTTGTTTGCTTTAAGCTGGATTTCCTGCGGGCTGACTGGTGACCTACTTGCCATGAGCAGTGTTGCTGACTTGATATATACCACAGAAGAACATTTTTAAAAGTTTAGTAGGGAAGAAATTAGGAAATTACGAGCTGTGCTTAAAGTCAGATTAAGTTGAATGAACTAATTGTCACGGCTGCTGACACGGTGATGGCCTACGGTTTCTAGGACCCGCCTTGAGCCTTCTTATCCCTCGCTGATGTTTGTTTCCATGGAAACCAGCTTTTGGTTGATACCTACTTGAGAGTGTAAAAGAAGCATGGAAAAACAATTTAACAGTATTTGGCTACCCCCTTCCTGAGCTGTAATTTGTTGCGTTCCTAAATGCAATGGTTGATCTGGTCTTGTTTTTAAATAAAAACTAGGCTACACACAGTGTTTTCAATGAGATTTGAATGTGCAAATATGACTCACAGCCCACAAATGCATTAGCACAGGCAAATTTGTTATAGCCTACTTTTGTCCACTCTAGTCGTTGTTCTCTCAGAGAGGGACACAATATTCTTTGTGTTGCCGATAAGGCTGAGAGGTTTCTTCTCGCTGTTTTTCAGCTGCGCTGCTTCTTCTTGATCTGTGTCCTGCTCAGCCCAGGTATGCTTTGCTTTAATAGTGGAATGTCTTTCTTCTGTCTCTCCGGGACAAGTTATGTTTCATTTTGATTGAAAAAGCAGTAATTGAATGACTGTTGGTGTACAACTGATTTATTTAGTGATTATTTTGACTGACTTAAAAAAAAAAATAATATTGTGATTATTATTAGACATTCCATTTCTGTACTTCAAACCCTCGCTGACACACTTAAAGTGCTTCACAAAATGTTTATGTAAATTGTTGGATGAAAAGTGACTGATATGAATGAAGGCAAGCAGCTTTTCCTGTAGCTTCTGCAGGATATTCAGTTGTCTTGTCCCCTATCTGAAAACAACCTTATTTTGTGTGATCAAACAGCTTACATAGCTCGTCTTCGGCTTGCAGCAAGATGTCAGACAAGTACAATATTTGTATGCGTATGTAGACTCATGTTTTAGCAGCTTAACACAAGAGCATGTTCATTTCATAATCTTAACAAATCTTTGACAAACCTATCCCAGTATGTTGTTAGGTCTCATTTTTTTAGTACCATGCTCTGTTTTGTAGGTAAGGGTACATTTTATTGCAAATTTCCTGTATTGGTTTTGGTGTTCCAATTTGGAGCCTTTATCCAATAATCTAGACACACCCTGGTTGATTTCATTTTATGGGAATTCCATGAAACCTGAGAATGGGTGAGCAGCACAGGATGCGGTTTAGAAAATATTGTTCTTAGTGATGCAGTACATTAGAAAACTGCCTTCCCCTCCTCACACTCAGCTAGCCAAGAGCAGAGCTGACAACCCATCGGTATTTTGGATCTCTACCATGGACCAGTATGCATTCCACTTAAGGTGGAGCTCTGATTTATCTGTACTCACTTGTCTGTCAGGCTCAGTGAAATTAACATTGGTGATAGATTGAACTAGAACAGAACCACAAAATTCATCTCAGTGACACTGTACACCACATGGAAGCCTGGCATTGAAAATGATGAGCGATCTTCTGCACTGAGGGGAATCAGGCGACAACCTACTGTAACACAAGTCTGTTGATTCGTGACTCCACAGTACAGTGAACACACAAACCCCCCAGGGCCTGTTTCCTCTCACTAACACAGTTTTCTGAGAAGGAGGAAGTTTTAAACTTTCATTTATCTTTTGAGAATTTCTCACAACAAAAGAAGAAGTACAAAATGTTTTTACTTTTGGTCTTTAAAATGATCTCTTTGGGGAAATCTTGTAATGAAACTTAGAGGCTTTTTTGATATGAATGAAAACAGAAGTCCCTGTAGCCTGACTCATGGCTTGTTTCTATGATTTTTAGCCACAACTGTAGGGATGGCAGTGTTGGCCACATTGTACTTATACGTAGACATTGGTCCACTGATCAGGTCAAAGTTTTCACTTAAAATCCTGTGAATTATCTCAACATCTACCAGATGGATTGGCACAAACTTTTGTTTCTAGGCTTCCATAGTTTATGTATCGTAATAACCTAACTTAACTTAACATATATGGTTTTGTATGAAATGTCTCAACAACTATTGGATGGACTGTCATGAAAATTGGCACAGACATTCATGTTCCCCTTAGGATTAAAAGTGACAACTTCGGTGATCCTCTGACTTTCATCTTGCACCATCATCAGGTCAAAATGTATATTATTATAATACTTATGACTGAATACCTACTAAAGTAATGACATTCCCATTAGCTGTTTGTGCATAGTGCTAATTAGTAAATGTTAGCACGTTAACACCTTAAGATATGTTCACTATCTTTATACGTCTTAAATATCAGCAAGTTAACATCATCATTGTAAGCACCACTGTATGAAAGTACAACCTGAAAGTGCTACTAGCATGCCAGTAGACTTTCAGTTCTGTTTTTACCCATATTTCTGATACAGCAGGAGCCATCTCCCTTTCCAGAATTGGTTGTTTGATCCGGGTGTTGATGTGTCATGCAAAATATGTCCAGGGGAGGATGAGTAAGCGATCTGATCTCCGGCGGCTCTACTGGGAGACACAGGGTGGACAGCAGTCAGCAGCTTTGGCTTGAGGGATGAAGCTGGACATACAGTTATAGGAGACAGGGCCAACAGCAAGGGGGGAAAACACATAAATTAAATCTTAGCTTCATGATTGTTTGTTTTAAGTATTACCTTTGTGCTGTTTGGGGGTATATCATCCTCAAAATTTCTGAGAGGTCATTAGATGGCATTGGATGCAGCTGCAGGAGTCTGGAGGGACATATTAAACATTCCTTTTTCCCTGTGTCACCACCACCAGCTATCACAGGCAACAGCCCTGCAGCCATGAGTCATTCACTGTGCCTCCTAGTGCAACAGTTATCAGTATCAAATATCCACTTTGTTGTTGCCAGTGAAGTCAAGTGCTGCATCCCAAGAGAAGTTGTGATGTGTGTTTATAATTGTGATATTTTCTTATTCGAAGCATATAGAAAGGGTACTTTCTGTGTGTCAGGTTTCACACACCATGGGCTTAAATATTACGATAAATGACTTTCTGGTTGATGGGCAGAGGGAAAGCCTAGTTTTTCATTAATTTCACCCAGCAGACATGGGGTTTATATTTTTCCTGCACACACACAGTGCCATCTATTGGCAGAAACTGTACTCTACATTCTCTGAGGACTTCCCAATGCTGCATTATCTGGTTATTGTTTCCAGTGATTAATGCTCAAACCTGTTTATCCAAAGTAATTTAAGCACAGATGATATTCTTGACTGACAGAGAGTAATGAGCCTCATAGTGGGGATTCAAACTGGGACAAGATTCATTTTGTCTCAGGAAACACAAGACTAGTAATCCTTTCATCCTTGGAAATGCTACTTCAACAGATGGCCAGAGTTATTTCAGGGTACCCAGCCCGCTGCATAACCAACTTCTCTCAGCTCAGTGGACTTTCTGTAAGTGGAAAGGATGGCCCATTATCCCTCTGCACACTTTCGCTTTCCACACTTAAATTAATAGTGGAAAACTTAGATGCAGACAAAAGCGTGAAAAGTATTAGTGAGTGTAAGATTCAGCCACGTGGTGTTGATGCACTCTACTGTAGTGTGGTATGTCTTTCTTGCTGACATTGAAGGTATTAAAGTAGAATTATTGTGTTTTTTTGTGGAGTATTAGCATTTATTCTACTTCCTCACGCTATTGTTTTTTTTTATAGACGTTATTGAATTTTCAGTCAATTTTAGGTGTTTTGACATAGACCAAACAGAGACAACCAGCATGTCATGAAATGTGTTTTAACTTGTAGGTAAAAAATATTTAATTAGTATTGTTTTTTTTAACATTTTAATTGTTTTTGTCTTTTATAGAGTGGATAAGACATTCTCCAAGGCCAGAAGCATATGGTGAGTTTTTCTTCTGTTTTCATTTATGTCAATCTATCTGGTATTATGACAGTACCTTAACAAACATTGTAATCCAATATGTTAGTTATTAAGAATCTTTTTTCCAGTTTAATAAATAGATTAAATAAATAAGTAAAATGGATTACAATTCTTAAAGCTTGCAACTCTCTGGAGTGATGTTCAATTTCACTGACTCAGACTGTTCTTGTAAGTTTTAAATGTGTGAATCAGTCAACCGAGTAGAGTGGGAGTAAGATGAATGAGCGAAAGGTAGAGCAGATGGGCAGCAGTGGGGAAACAGGTTGTGCTGCCATCTCTGCAGTACTGGCAAGGTTGGAGTGCCGCTGTGAGTGGCACGTGGCGGCAGGCAGCGAGCTGAGCATGCACACCTCTTGCCACTGCAGATAGACCACTCCATTTCTGAGTGCTTTAGGTGTGGTGGCACGAGCATCTAGCCCTCAACCCCCTCTGTCTGACTGCAGCAGGTTAAACAGTGCCTCGCCGCAGTGTCATCACTCCTTCCCTCTGGAATACAGATACAGGAGGATCTCTTTTACCAGCTAGGCCTGCATTACTCAGCAGTGGCTGGGCTTGTTTGCAGAGACTGCAGTCTGCCCATCGGAATACCACTACATCAGACTATAACAGAACAACTGCAGCTCACTATAAAGAAGAAGAGGAAAGACACTGGAGCAAAATGATGAAGAAGATAATATAAAAGAGGATACAAAACAGCACAGGAGGTAAAAGAAACTGTGGGTGTGAAGAGGAAGAAGAAGGAGAAAGCAAGTGATTGGATGTGGTGACATGACAGAAAGAGCAAGAAGAGAATAGTAAAGTGTGATGTCTGCAAAGCAGAATACAATTAGAGTTCAGCAGAGTCATGCTCGGTCCTCTTAGCCATGTTCTTTTGTCTGAGTCATGGTCTTTTTCAAAGCAATGAGAAATTCAACAAACATTCCTTAATGACTTTGGAGGATCCTTCCTACTGTGTTAATAGAACTTGAATTGTAGTACATAATCATCCGTGTTCATGCCCAGCAGGACAGATCAATTTCCAACAACAAAACCTGTGGCGCTTGGATGAAGCATAAGATATCTCAGCTGCTTTTAGAAAGGATTTTTCACTTTGTTAAGCCTAAGGACAAAAGTTCAATTTAAAGGTAACAACATCAAAGAAAGCCTGAAAACTACCAGGTGAGCCAAAGTCAAAATCTTCCTTCAGGCACTGTATGTTGGACAGGATGTGACTGGAACAGTGAGCTACTAAATCTTCCGACGGCAAAACTGTAACAGCACAACCCAGCAAAATGCCGTGCTCACCTTTCCGAATTGGAAGGCCAAGAAAATTCTGGTGAGTTCCTCTTTAACCTGCCTGAAGATAGTTTTGATGGTAACCGCATGACTCCACAATGAAACGGTACATAAGAATTCAATGTACCTGCCTGATGCATGCATTCCTTCAAAACTGCCCCATACTGGCGCTCAAGAAATGCTTAATGAAGCCAACCTGTGTATTCCTTACAAAGGGCAGGAAAATACAAAACCAATAATAATAATAATAAAGATAAAAAATAGATAAAAGACTGACAAACAACGCAATAAATTATAAAAATAAATAAATAATGGTCATAAAACATTCTAATAAAAAAGAAAGACAATAAATTAGTTTTAAGTTTTTGTTTAACGATATCAACAGTTTTGGCTCAGGTAGACTGTTCCTTTGGCTCAGAGCATAAAAACTAAAAGATGCCTTACCAAAAGATTTTTGTCCTCACTTTGGAACAACTAAAAGTCTAGTATCATAGTGTCTAATCTATGAGCCGCCCTGGTTCATGGATGATATTTTCATCAATCACATAGAGGTAATAGGTTCTCAGAACACTGTATATGTACTCAGTGAGCGACGTCGTCTAACATGTTTTTAATGTCAGGAATTGTTCAGTTTTTATCCTTCAACTCTTGTTGTTGACTAAATGTTAAATGACCATCTTCCATCTGGTCACTGTGGGTCATACACAATAAACAGATGATCCTCAGGCCCCGTCTCCACTCTCTCCAGGGGAGGCCTTTAATTGGTTGTAATCCTGTCTTGCTAAGCTCCCCTGATGGGGGGAAATGAGAGAGGAGGGTTAGTGTGGATAATGGCTATAGAGTTGTTTTATAAGAGCCTCTCTCTTTCTGTCTCTCCTACACACATACGAACATACATCCAGACGCTTCACTGTCCCTGGATCACTATGGATTATTGTGGCAGGTTGTCCATTGTATTACTTCCTGCACAGTCTTTAATCCTACTGTTTTATCCATGCTTCAGATCACCTGACCTTCATTCAGGACAGGTCTGCAGTTTTGAACCACCCACGGGTGCTATTTTGCTGGTGAGGAAGAATTCATTCAGGTTAGGTGTTAAAGAACTTGATAGCAGTAAGAATATCAGCTTTAAATACAGTAATAAACAAAAGTAAAATCTTTTCTGTAACCCATTGTGCAATTCTTCCAAAATATGTATCCTGCAGCAAAGACTTGTTTGCACAATGCTGTTTGTGTGACTCTAAAGCTGTTTTTATATTAATCTGCTGAAGGAGGAAGTTTTCTCTGTGCTCACCTTGAATATGAATTTAACACGTGCACATATGAGATGATTTTCGCAACTCGTTTGGAAACCAACTCTGGTTTAATATGCAGCTTTTGAGAACTGTGATGTGGAAACTTCAGTGAAACTTTTTAGGGAAGTAGACCGTTGCATATTCATAGATTCTCAATATTTAAAACATGGGGGAGAACTAGCTAATTGAACTTTTGAGACATAAATGATTCAAAGTAGAGTCTTTCAAATTGAACAGTAGAGTATAGCAGTGTTTGATGGTTGACGGTAAAAAGTTGAGAACATGTGTAGCGCAGGTGCAGTCTGCAATAGTCCTATCATTAATAATAATAATAATAATAATAATAAATTTGTCCTCAAGTTGGATAAACTGGCTTTTTTCATGTGGCAGTTTTGACAGGGACAAAGTGTGTGTGTGTGTGTTTTTCAGAGGAATCAAATTTCTATTGTTTTGCTCAGTGGGTAATGGTGTTATTTTAACGCCGCTGAATGACCTTGCTATTTATTCCATATTGTGTGATGTGATTCGTCATTCTATTTTTATGATCCTTTCTAAATTCTAGGCCCATTTCATCCTTTGTGTCATGTTTCTGCCTATAAACACTTAAGAGGTGTCACTGTAAACACTCCTCTGTTTGTGTTCACTGATTTCCCGTGAGATGTCACTCTGCATCATCCTCTGTGTGTCGACTTTGCACATGCGCTCACCACTGCACTGTGAAGCCGAGCCGGGTGTCAGTTTGCTTGTGCACGCTCATCTGTGTATGTCAAGCTGAGTTGTCTGGAAGAGCGGACATAGTGGGAAAGCAAACTGTCAAGCCCGATCATACTAGACTGTCTCTCTGTGAGTCTCCTGCTGTCTGACCAAATATAGCACCAAAGTGACAAGCTCGCCCCGGGTTCTACCGTCTCAATAATCCAAATCCTAACATGTCATCCACCATCCAGCACCAGCACAAAATGTCTTAAAAAAACATAAAGCTCAGATGACAGCAGGCTGTTGAAGGTTGAGACGAGTGCCAGGCAACTTTGACAGGACATTTCCATTTTACTTTATCTGATTCTTGAAGCTCTTTGGTGGCAAAGTTGTTTTTTAAGTTCACTTCTTTGCTTTCAGACATTCTCTTGCAGCTGCAGTATCTCCGGAAGCGGGGCCCCAGGTATCGAAGAGGCAGCCAAGGTCTTTATTCCTTGTGTTTGTGAATGGGGAAATCCCTAAGTATACATTTGAGGATGTGTGTATCCCTTGTAGAGCCAATTTATTGACACCTGTCATGCTGAGGATTGTACGGTAAGCCAGTGGGTGGAAGAATACTTTCTCTTCCTCACTTTCCTCCTGGTTTTTCTTTCACATTGGGGAAGAAATTCTTGCATGATCAAAATCTTTTGCACAATTCTGCTGAGATCATGTCGCTGTGGTTGTTCTTGTCTCCCTCCAGGAGGGATGTACGGCTCATAGATCAAACTGTATGAAGTTTAATGTCACTGAATACACCAGTAGCTCTGATCTCAAACACAAAAGAGCACAGAATGATCCCACAGTGACCCTCTGTTGTTGAAAAGGCACATCTGCATGAGTGTGATTTCCCCAGGGGACATGTTTCCAAGGAAATCTGGACAGTGACATTGTGAGAGATAAGCAAGCTAGAAATAGGGACCTATTGGTAGAGTGAACATGCTTTATTCAAAAACACCTGCTGTACCTAGCCTTTTTATGCATACTGAATATGGCCAGCTGTCATGGGACGTGCGGGCTCAAGAGAACTTATCAAGGAGTCTCCTCACTATTCAGATCCTACACATATTTCATTATTTATCATTCTTATCGCGCAGCATTTGATTGTACAGCCTCTTTGTATTTTTTCTATTCTTGTCATGAATACAGTATAGCATAAAAAAAGTTATCACACCTTCAAGTATAAACAGTTGTTCTAGTGTATTGATAAGAGCTATTGAATACAATTTCCTTGTCTGACTGTTTGCCTAAAAGGTCTTTTAGAGGTTCAGTTCCCTAGGGAACAAACAACTTCTCAGACTTATCTGCTTCTTTGAATTTGGTCAATATTTGCTTGTGTCTGAGTGTGGCAGCAGTAACTTTTATAACCATAGGACAAAAGGGCCCAAAAGGTTTCACATTTTCCAAAGCAAACTAGGCAAAGTCATGGAGTAGGTTTTTATTACTTCCTTCTCTCATTCAGAATAAGATACCTAAATAAAGAATGCTCAGAAGATGATATAAATGTTATGTTATATATCACATACAGTATATTTATGTTGCTGAATGTCCACCAAATTGATACACTTTTGAGGGGAAATAAAATATTTTTATCTGGAAAGATTGACTTTGAGGCTCAAAGTGCAGTCACATACGCAGGAGATAGGGAACTGATAC